ATATATACATGTATTTTAGCCTATGGGCCACAGTGTTTTTTCTTAATCTACATTTAAACAATATTACTGTCACTCAGACCACTCAGATCCAAGAGAAATAAAGAAACACAACAGCCCAACAGATAAAGACTTGTACTGAATGCTGGCTCAGTCGGTAACGGAAAGACAGTTTTTTGATTCCACTTCTCATATTTCAAAATATGGTAAAGCAAGTTGTTCTGTTGGGCCTGCCGTTACTTGAGCTAATAAAGCGTCTGGCGCCTTCGGGTGGGTACTTTTTTTTGGCACAACGCTGGCTGTGACTTAATGAAAACAGTGCGTTCCCTTAAAAAAACACCTCCTCTCTGAGTTACACAAACCCTCCACAAGCCAGTCAGTGTCTTAATTGTGTCACTATATTCTCCTTGACATGTGGTGAGAGAATGTTTGCACAATTCTTCACAGTTATTTGAGAATCTGAGCCCACACACAGGTTTTAAAGATCATCAGTTAAAAAGGCAGCAGTGAACTGCTTCAGGAAGCATGCTTACTCAGGGGTGTTGATCCAGATGATGTCTAAGTGACAGTAGTAGACGCACTCCTTATCTTTGTAGGAATAACAGGTGCAGCGCTTCTGTCTGGGTTTTGCGGTATCAGGCAGGTGTGGATCCGCTGAACCCCTGGAGCCAAACACCTTGGAGTCTGGGAGACTTTTGGAGTGACTCACATGGGACAACGAAACACCTTTAGGACATGTATGTAAAATAAATAAATAAATAAATAAATAAATAAATCAGAAAAAAATCTAAAGTGAAAGCAGTGTAAATAAAAAAAAAGTACCACAATAAATGTAGACAAACTTTACCTTGCAATAAAATCAGTGCCAGTGTTATAAATAGCATGCTTCTTTCCAGAAAAAACTGCATCTTTGTCATCAGGTCAGTTATTCCCAAAAATAGTCAGAAGAGCATCCATTAATTAAATAAAGTAAGTCCCTGGTGTCTCACATGATGATCCCAAAAAAACAAACTAGTGTTCTTCTCGAATTTAGGCTTGAAATTCTACCTGTAACCCGTGCGTAAAAGTAAAACAATTCTGTTTTTTTATATATTAAATGTAATTTTTAATATTGACGTAGTTGTGATCTATGCGCAAAGAGAGGAGAGATGATGCTCGTTGTCAAGTCGCTTTCTGAAAAGCACAAAATAAAAGATATGCAGGGTTTGAGGAGGTAGAGGTTCACGCCCACACCACCCCTGACTAACACACACACCCCTACACGCACACGCACTCTCCTGGCTTCTCAACTCTTGTCACATGCAGCTCTCTGCAGAGCACATGGATCTCGTCTCACGTGACGCATGCAATAGTTTGGGAGCTACGCAAAAGAATTACTGCAATCAAGTTAAAGTTGTGCAGGAATCCAAACAAAATAAAAAAATACAATAAAACAAAAATTCTAATCAAAATGTGTCAAAACATGTCAAAATTCTCTCGTTACATGTCCTTCCTTTGAAAGCTGTTTCTGCAAACATTTTTCCAATATGAACCCTTCATTTTCCACATGTTTATGTCTGTGTAGTTTCAAAAAGGCTACAGTTGCATTCCGGATGACATGCGGTGGCAGACGCCCAGGGGGTTGTTTAGGCTTTCTTATATTTTTATATTCCGTACACCAATTTAGCTGATCGGCAGATCATTTGAGAAAGAGCCAATCAAAACTGACGTAATGAAAGGTGTTGATGCTGTATTTCCTAAAGCGATATAGTTCCATTTTTTGGAGCTGATGTTCTGTGGAGATATTTGTTTGTAATAATATTTTTGCCTGCAGTAAAAATTGCTGCAAGTATGTTCAGGTTATAAAACATCAGGCAGAAGTGGGGCAAAAAAAAATCTGACATCTTGAAACGACTCTGTTCTCAAATATTTCAAATTGGTTTAAAAAGTTTAACCCTTTATACCACTTTCACTTTTGCATTAGATGGCCGTCAGTCACACTGAAGAGGACAACCTTGTATACACTTTCCAGGTGAATCAAAGAAAACCACTTTGTATGGGATGCCAAGTGTAAAATGTTTTCACGTTGCTATTTTTTTTTTACTTAATGTTACATTTAAATGTTAAATCCTAAATGCCCAAGTTAAATTTAAATGTGGCTAAATGTTGAACATTTAAGTACTTTGTATTTTGGAATGGAACCTTTGCTGTTGGTGCTTGGCTTTTGTTTTGATGTCATCATCCTGCAACAAAAGCAAACACTAACGCTGCTAACACAGCTAATGCTGCTAACGCTTCCCTACAAAACATCAAACGTGTAGTTGCAGCCAGTGTCCGAGCTGCACTTCAAACTGACGGACCACAGGTACCATCCATTTGGTTTTCAATTAACATTTGAAAGTTAAATTTTAAATGCCATCTTCAGCAACGTTAGCATTTGCTTTAGTCGCAGGATGATGACATCACACCAAAAGCTGTGCACCAACAGCAAGGCTGTTTTTCATTCCGAAATTCTTATTAGCTGCAACATTTAGGATTTAACTCTTGGCTTTAGATTTGAAGATTTAGATTTGGAATTTAACATTTCACTTTAACATTTAGTAAAAACTTTGCAAAATGTAAGAACAGTGAGCTAAATAAAAACAAAACATTAGTGAAAATTTTTAAAATTTAGGATTTTACACTCAGAAAGTGAACTAAATAATGGAAAGTGTTGGTGACAGTTTTTAACATTTTATTTGACTCTTGGTGCCCCCATACATTTTGTTAGACATAACTACAGATTTTTAAATCCTTGTTTATGATTCATATTTTTTCAACATATAATTTATCATCATTGTTGTTGTATGTAACTTTATATTGTTTTGCTATCTTGTTTGAATGTAAAGCACTTAGGTCAACCTCAGTTGCTTTCAATGTAGTTTATAAAGAAAATGAACAATAAAAAAATAATAATAATAGATTATATTTGTAATGCACTTTATATCTGAAAGCAGATCTCAAAGCGCAAACAATAAAAGAAGACAAAACAATAATAAAACAAGAATAAAATGGAATAATAAAAGAGAATAAAAGAGAAGTAAACTAAAAGATTGTCTGAATAAAAAAAAACATTGTCACTAAAATTGAAGTTGACACAATAAACACTTTTAAAAGGGTTTAAAAACCTGTTTTTGTTGTCTCTATATTCAACATGTCAAAAAATGCCAGTCATGATGAGGTCTACTGACTGAAACCGTCTCTGAGTCAAAGGTGTTGAAAATAAACATCTCAAGTGAACCTGTTTTTACAGCTTCACTAAATTGCGTGCATTAATCAGAGCAGTCAAACAGGCGTGCCTTATATAATGAACGGAGAGGCAGGAAATGACTCGTAGGTGGGACTAACACCTGATTTCATGCTCAGATCAATGTTATGAGAACAAACCTGCTGAAGCTTCCATTCCCCTTCATCTGTGTGGTCGCTTCAGGCATTGTTGTTACTCTCAAACATTGGGGTTGCAGTATAGCCTGCAACCGATTATAAAAGAGGAAAACCCACTAAACGATCCTGATTTTCCTTTATAAGCCATGTCTGGCTGCACTGTGTTTCGCTTGTGGAAATAATTACCCCCAAAATATGAAAGAAAAGTAGGACAGAAGTCAGTTAATGCAACAGCTCTGGTCAATTATCAAAATACATACTGTATGCAGTAAATTGGTGAGTAACTAATACACGAAGTCATGGAGGGACTCAAGCCTGTTAGAATAATGATCCATTTATTCAAAGACTTATGGTCCATGTTGACATAAAAGAGACAAAAACAAACATAATACACAACAGAAAAGAAAAAAAAAACTATAATATAGTTTTTTATATATAGTTTATATAAACTATATAGTTTATATAGTATAATATTCCACTTTCTCCTCAGTAATTTACTTCCTCGCTGTCTAGATTACATACAGGGAGCGCCCTGGATTTATACGCTCCCAGTGAGRCCTCTGCTGCCTGACACATGACTGCCCTCTGGTTACCTCCCAAATTTCCTAAGGCTAAGGTTTTAGTGCCATACAAGTCCTCTGGCACAATCCCCAAGCTGCAAAACAGAAGAATTCCTGATAAATTAAGACCATATTCCACCCTCCCACCCCACCCCTGTCCAGAGCTGTGGAGACAGAATGCTATCAGATAGTTGACAATGTGCGGTTTAGTGGTTTCAGGATGTGTGCATGATGTGAAGGAACCTTGCAGCCTTGCCTGCTGAATCGAATTATGCAGTGTGGGTTTTGCTGTTAGTTATTTACCATAAGTGTGCAGCTGAAACAATGCAAGGGGACTAAATCTCGGATAACGTTTTCTGGCGTCGTTGACAGATTGAGGCTGGGGAAACTTTACAGTAAGCTTCCATTTTATTATTTTACACACGGCAGGGCTTAATCTGCATGTCATGCCATAAAAACATTAATGTATGAAGTATGTCATACTTTCTCTTCATAACACCGGTATTATGAGTTCAGTTCGCTGCCAACCACTTCTTGTGAGGTGTTGATTWTTTTTTTTTCTTCCAGCGGAGGAAATCTCTTCATAGCAAACTCTATCGTGACCTGGGAGACATTAGGGAATGTAATACCTTTCTGAATTTTTTCCCAGCTACCGCTCTGACCTGTTTTTCTGGGCTTCCTCTTATGTTTTATTACAAAACATATTTGCGAGCAGAGTCTGGGGATTTGGGCACTCATTACCCCCGGTGTGTTGCGCTGCTGCAGAGGCATGAAGCAGAAAAGCAATAAACAGGTGGGCCTAACTTATTAGAGGCTGCAGATGTGTAAGCCTTTTGAAATGAAGATGRCGGCGTGATGTCACATGGAGGGAGGGTGGCACCACGCTGCAGGGATTAGTTGCTTCAGACTGTCTGTGTGTCACATCTGCTTCAGTTTGGTTATTAACTCTCCAGCTTATCTGACAATCAAAAGACGTGAATGCTACATGAACTTATTCCCAAAAAAAAAGTACTTTCTGGGCACCTTGCAGTACTTTTCTTTACCACTTCTTTTGTTTACACCAGGGGTGCCAAACTCATTTCCGCCGAGGGCCACATGTGCATTATGGTGGCCCTCAAGGGGCCAGTTGTATTTAACTTTCACGTTTAATGTTTAACTTTAACTAAACAGGAAATGTCATGTTCCTTGTCTCATTGCTACGGCTGAGCACCACAAACAGTAGCTGAGCTCTATGTGGTATTTCCTGCATATGTCAGCATTTTAACTCTCTCTTAGAACCCTTATAAACATTGGAAGTACTATGTGTTCTGCTGACTAAATGTGAAATAAACAGTGTTGTATAAAGTACCACAAAGTGATGCTTGAGTAAAAGTTCAAGTATTGTACCAAAAAAATTTCTTTGGTAAAAGTTAGTCTCATTTGGGAATATTACTTGAGTACAAGTCTTAAAGTTTCTGATATTTTTTGTACTTAAGTAT